TAGATCAAAAGGGTGCTTCTACTAAATACTGAGCAAAGGGTCTGAATACTTAGGACCATGTGATATTTCAGTTTTTCTTTTTTAATAAATCTGCAAAAATGTCAACGATTCTGTGTTTTTCTGTCAATATGGGGTGCTGTGTGTACATTAATGAGGAAAAAAAATTAACTTAAATGATTTTAGCAAATGGCTGCAATATAACAAAGAGTGAAAAATTTAAGGGGGTCTGAATACTTTCCGTACCCACTGTATATGTGTGTGTGTGTGTGTGTGTGTGTGTGTGTGTTTTATATTATTTGAAATCTAAATTTTAAACAAAAATATGATTATTTTTATGATAAATACAATATAACATATATGCATAGAGAGAGCAAGTATGTCATTTTTGTATAAAAGACTGGGAAGTGAATAAATAAATAATGCCATAAAAAGTGCATTACAAAAATGTGGAAATGTCCTAGGTTTCAAAGAGGGGTTTTAGACAATATCAGTATAAATCATTAGCATTTATTGCATTAAATGCATTTATTTAAATGGACTGGCGATAATACGTTTATTTTTGATCACATAAAAATAACAAAATATAGATGTGTTCCAAAGTACAGACTATCTAAAAAAAAAAACATTCTGTTATTGTTGTTAAATTTAATATTTTCATAGTTTGTGTTTTTTAGCAATGCAAAATCAGTCATTGCACTGTAATTTAAAGGATTTCTGCTGAAATTGTCCAAAACCCCAGTTTTTTCGCACACTGGAATGACATTTATGTCAACAAGCAACTAATAATATAATTTTGGCATGTTTATTATTATATACAGTTTATGGAATACTAGCACGGAAAACCAGGGAATTTTTAAATATGGATTTTCAGAGCAGGAAAAGTCATGGTAACATCTATAATGAACGTCTTTTTGTTGTTGTGGAAAACTTGCACTGATTTACAAAATGCTTCCAAAACAATAGCACAATTATTATTAACTCCAATAACACTCATCTATTATCAGTCACTACTAACTGTTGTTGGGCTGTTATTAATAGTCACCTTCTGCTGGGATCTTTAGTCATCAGTAAAGTGATGAGTAGACACAGAGGTGCAGCTTAAATTTAACCGAACTGAGTGCTGCTAAAACGCCTCGGTCACAGATTTCAAGCTCATTGTGATTCAGAGGTGAGCGAAATAGACGTGTACACTAGAGTTTGACACGATATGAATCAGAAAACCACAAACGCGCACCATTAGGGTACGTTAAACTAAACTACAGGTGCTTTTTTTACACCTGAACTGAAAGAGCGAGCGAGCGATTTCTTCATGTGTGTGTTTTGATTGTCTCTGAGTGAAGCCGTGGCCTCATTACTTAATGCGTTAATTACACATACTATTGTTCTGTAATTGCTTTCAAAGAAACAATAGGAATCAAAAAGCCACGGGAACAAGCAGGTAACGAAGCTCAGGTCAGTAAATATGAAAATGAATGTCCTGTTGAGGAGTTACACACACCTGCTGGATCCTCAGCATTACAGAGAACAGCTGCAGACGGGAAGAGCCGGGTTATTCTGGAAAACAGCACATACACGTGATACATGGCATGCATTCAGGTATATTAGTATAGTTACAGGAGAGAGTTACATGCAATTGTCAAATTAAATTCTGTGTGAAAGTGACTTGTTTGTTTGTTTTCTTTACTCAGGTGGAATTAAGAGAGTAATACCTGGATCTTTTACACAAAACACAAATGTGTTTGATTATTTGTGATGTTTAAAAAAAAACTACTGTTGCATCAAAAGTTTGGGAGGATTTTTTAAAGTCTCTTCTGCTCATTTATTCACTGAAAAATACAGTAATAGCACTAATATTGTGAAAAATTATTACTATTTAAAATATCCATTTTCTATATGAATATGTGTTAATATAATTTATTCCTGTGATGCGCAGCTGTATTTTCAGCATCATTACTCCAGTCTTCAGTGTCACATGATCTTCAGAAATCATTCTAATATGCTGATTTGCTCAAGAAACATTTCTGATTATCATCAATGTTGAAAACAGTTGTGCTGCACAATATTTTTGTGGAAACCATGATACATTTTATTCTTCAAGATTCACAGATGAATAGAAAGTTCAAAAGAAAACAATTTATTTGAAATATACTTGTTTTGTAACTTTATACATGTCTTTTACAGACACTTTTGATTAATATAATGTGCCCTTGCTGAATAAAATATTTATTAAAATATATGTATAATTTTATTTAATATACTGTATATTTAGATTTCTATAATTTAATATATATATTTAATATATATATATATATATATATAATAAAAACTATATATTTATTTTTGTAATTTATATAATTAGTTTAATTACATTATAAATTGTAGTTATACATTATACATTAAAATATATGAACATTTAAAATATTAAAATTATATTCATTTAATATATATATATATATATATACACACTGTATATTTACATTTATATAATTTAGTTGAATAATTGTTAATAATTAAACTTTAACTTCCTTCTGCGATTGAATCTGGATTTACAAACGAACAGAATATGAAGAATACGACTATGATGAAGAATATCAGATTGACTTACAAACACAAAACGCTGGCGTTAATTAAAACGCTGACAATAGAAGTAAATAATGCATAAAGAATGAATAAATGATGTTTTCATGCGCACTGATGGACCGCTGCGGTTTCCACAGATGTCGAGACATTAAGAGACTGTCTAGATCCGGAGAAAGGATGACGACCGGACAAATCCACATACAAGCAGCTTCATTTCATTATTCACAGGGCTGTCATTAGATGGAAAGTGTCTTTCCCTAGGTCTGCTGTTTGTGTGTTTTGTTCAATTGAAATGTTGATTTGCCTGTCAGAGTTTTATTTATCGGCGGATGAAAGCTCCATTATGTTTAACGTGCATCACAACTTCATCA